AATTGTGAAATGTTACGTAGAACATAAGTAAGTAAATACAGTAAAAGTGTTTTAACCAGCAAATTATCGCTGTAAAATAAGGAAATATTTGCTTTAAATTTTTGGATGACTAGTGTGTGAATGTATGTGTATTCTAATTATGATGATTGAAAAATAATTCAAAAGGAAGAAAAATACTAACTGTATGACGGTGTCTTGAGCCTTAAGCGTGTTGTATCTAGGAACACAACAGCTGTCTTGACGTAGAACTACAAGGATTTCAATGAGTTCTCTTCACCTATTTTCTATAGTAGTTACATTTTGAATTTGAATTTGAATTTGAAATTCAAGGCGAGAAAACGGTACAATTACTTTTTTGTGAAAAGCTCTCTAAAGCTATGAAAAACGCTGTATTATTATTACGTAGCTACTTATGTTAAATACCCTACTATATTAAGGTTTTTAATCTAATTTCCGTCCTACTAAGCACAACCCACATTTAACCTCTCTTTTTAGATCGAATATGAACCCAAAACTGGAATGATTCAACCATAGATGGCTTCCAAATTTATTTACCTTTCTATACGTATTTGATAAAGAGTCACACACTATTGAGATATTGTTAGAACTATAACATAGATTCTTGATTCCAAATTCATTCTACGTTTCTTACGAATTTAAACGCCGTTGGTTTTTCTAGGTTTTTCTTCACTCTTTTGTAAAGTAGGCAGAAAAAATGAATTTGCTTGGACCGTTTCTTAACGTATAGAATCATTGATATTATTGATGTTTTCTGCTCTATAGAACGAAAATGGGCGATTACGACGAAGTAGTGCTCTGCCCTATTTTTAGAGAGAGCGTAACGACGATCAATCTTCTAAATGAAAATTCTCGAAGAAGTATCTGGAAGTAGCTTCTGAACAGTGAATGAAACTTTTAAAATGAAACTTGTAGAAACCCTAGTAGCACGCTTGTTAAAAATCAATTGTAGAAACTTATATACGACTTATTTCAGTCATAAACAAGTTGCTGTAACTTATTGTGATGAAAGTGTGCTACTCGGGAAGAAGCTTCCAGAACGAATAATATTCTACATAGAATCCTGATGAATGTGGGCGTCTTAGTGGAATACCTGTATAATGAGAGAGAGAGAAGGATTAGTATTTTCCATTTGGTGGAATTAAATGGAAAATACTAATCCTTCTCTCTCTCATTATATTCTACATAGCTTTTATGCGTTTAAATCGTCTATCTAGCACACGAGGATGAATCGATTCATTGTTTCCCTCTTGCTCGCACTTCTTCGATTTAGATTTAGATGGTGCAGTAGCGTGTGCCGATTAAAAGCACTATAAGAAGCGACTAGAAAAAAATTTCTAGACGAAACGAAAATCAATTATTTTATTCATGTGTTTCACTTATACATTTTTGCCAAAACATCAGCTTTATACATTCCATAGACAAACCACATAGGTCATATAAGAATGCATAAAAGGTATGTGTGACCGCTTATACATTTCATTTGACACATCATCTTCATTAACTTTTTGCAAGGCGTCTGCTTATAAATTGACTTCTACATTTTATGAATAATCAGCAATAGAAATTTGCCAAAAGGTATAAGGAGATTTCTATCCGTGTAAAAAAAAAGCTTCAAGAAGAAGCTTCCACAACCAAGTCTCCAGAGCGGCGCCGGTGGTGTAGTGGTAAGCGTGATTGCTTCTCACCCCAGCAGGCCTGGGTTCAATCCCAGTCGGCACCGCCGGGATGTTCTGAGGCATAACATCTCTGATCACGCCTTCCTTCGGAAGGGAAGTAAAGCCGTTGGTCCCTGGTTCGTGAGTTGATGGGTCGATAGGTAGGGTCCAGGTGTGGAAACAGCCTCCCTGCCGTCGGTAGTATTGGTGCTCAGCACGGAAAACAAATCATGGAAAAAAAAATCCACGGCGGCAACATTCAAGCATTTCGTCGTAACTCACATCAATGTGAGTTAGGATAACTACAAATAACAGACAACTCTTTCTAGCATCCAGCACTGCGATGCAAGTGTGAAAAAGTAAACTTTTTTTTTTTTTTCCTTTATTTACAAGGCTTTCAGCCATTGGCTGGTTCGCCATAAAAAAAAAAAAAAAAAAAAAAAAAAAAAAAAAAAGAAAAAAAAAAAAAAACTGTTTAATTATGTCATACCTCCGTCAGTTTTACCGCTGTCAGGTGTTGCCCAAAAATGTCAGATTGCCCAAAAATTTCAAAATCATGTGAACTAGGTGCATCTATATATGGTTTACAGGGATAGAGTCCCCCTGATTTCATCGCTTTATATAACCGTGCGTTATTCATTGTGATGGACAATGTACCGATGAATTTGAGTTCATTCATTCGAGAAAATGTGACACAATCTGCTGACAATGTTAACTAATCATGAACATTAAATGTTCATTATTCATTATTCATGAACATTTAGTGTTCATGATTAGTAACCATAGCCCACAGCTTGTGTCAGTTTTTCTCGAGTTAATGAACTCAAATCCATCGATGCACTCGTCCATTACTGTTGTTTTTGCATCAGTTGATGGAAAACTAGGACAACATGCATAAACATGCTTTAGATTGACGTTTGAACGGTTTTTATGAGTTTAAGCTGGAATTAATCTTTGACGTTGTGAGTGTGAGTGCGTGAAAATGCATGAGAATCTCATGCGTGGGATTTGTTTGCCAGATTCGTAAGCATATATAGACAACTTTGATTCCACTGCAGTAACCATAGCTAATAAATGATCATTTTTCAAAAACTTTCATTCAAAAAGTTTAGACTTTTGAAAGTAATGAGCGGGTGCAAAGTTGTAAAAATCCGTGAATTTCATCTGCACTTTAAAAAATCTCTTAAAATTCGTATAAATTTATGGTCGGTCCGGAGATTTATGGTAAATTACAAAATCCGTAAATCTATGCTAGATTTTACAATACAGATGTTTTCACTGGTTGAATTTATACTAGTGTTAGTGTTATGGTATCTGGCCTTGACGTCCGCGTTAGGGATTCGCTATCAAGGCAAGCATGCAAGTTTAATCATTTTGCAATAGTGTGCTACTGATGAACAATTATAATTTTAGTACTAAACATATCTTGCGATTTAAATGGTACATTAACAATGTTAATATATCCATATATAGCCAGGTTATACGCATTCAAACCCTTATATCGTTTCATGACACTACTTCGATGAAATGTGACCCCATACCATACCAATGTTTTTGTCTTTTTAATGTTTCGTCTCACTTGTACATAAAACCGCACGGAAATTGTGAATGTCAAATTTACTCTTTTCCATAAGACGTCATACTATACCTTGAATTAGCGGAATGGTGCGCGATTTCGCTTTTCTCTCGAAATTAAAAGCAATTGAATACGACAGCAGTTGTAGGCCTTACGCTTCTGCTTGTGAGTCAGATACGTGTATAGTTGCCTACTATTTCAGTGTTTTTGTTTTACACTGCGATACATACGTACACATTTATGTATGAAGATCATCGTGAGCACGAACATTCACGAGAAATACTACACATTTCTGCGCATGTGCATGAGGTAATATACATTAATTGGATAAATCAAGTTTAACGCTTCAGCACGCTTAGCGTTGTAAAATAACACCGTTCGCCGGTTATCGACAACTCATTGGATCATATAAACAAATACGATTAGTCTGTCATAAACGCGCATAAGGTTTTCTTACCTTTTATGTCATAAAACTATCACAAGATTTGTTGTAAAACTATGAAGCATGTATAGACAGTATTGAGAATTACATTTAACCACTCATTCCCTGATTTTAAATATAATTAAGACTTCTTAAAACAATGTTCAAAATGAAATATAATTATTAAACGTGCCATAATAATATAAGCAAGAACTTTTACCTCAAAATGTGCCTAACGAAGTGTTCGGCAGGTTAGGTTATCTTTATTCGCGAGACTTTCAGCTAGAGGCTAGTTCATCTCTGTGTTGTGTTCGGTAGATCATACTATTTGTAGAATAGCTCTTACATTCAAAGTGTTTTTTGTTACTTCATACGTGAAGTTTACGATTTTCTGAGTTGGGAGGAAATGCTATACTAATATCAACATAAATCTTTAGTGTGATGATTTATTAGCTAGAGAAAGTTCTGAAGAGGATAGATTGATAAGATGTAATTGAGCGAAGGGCCATTAATGCAACAGTACTATCAAACGCACACTCCTTTACCTAGTTCATACATTGATGTATGAGGGGATTTAAGGTTTTTTCCTCAAATCTACAGGTTAGGAAGAGAAGGAAATTCGTTCAATTTCAACTTCTGTTCAATGTTCACACTGCCGTACTCTAGCGGAACTATCAATCTATCTTCTTCAGAACTTTCTCTAGCTAACAAATTATCGCACTAAAGTTTAATGTTAATATTAGCTTAGCATTTCCTCCCAACTCAGAATAGTTCTAATATCCAAATTATTTGTAAAATAGTTCTATCTTTTAAATGTGTCGAACCTCTTAACGGAATCTCTTTATGAACAGCTTTGAGTGTGTTGGTTTATTTCCTTTTAATTCCGTTATAATTGCTTATCTTTTGACAGATACGCGTATTTCGTCTACTTCTTGCAGACTTCATCAGTGCCAAGTACTCAACACCACTGTGGTCGTGGTGCTACTTGGCACTGATGACGTCTGCAAGTAGTAGACAAAATACGAGTATCTGTCAAAAGATAAGCAATAATAACGGAATTAAAAGGAAATAAACCCACACACTCAAAGCTCTTCATAAAGGGATTCCGTTCGTTTACGACATTATTTTATTATGGTGGATTATTGATATATATATATACAGCAAATGGTTTCAGAACCAAATTGTTGTATGAAAATACCTCTAAAATTTCCATCGATGGAAATGAAAAACAAACATGCGGATTCAGTAAAAGCTATTAAAAAATTTGAATTGATTTTACAGAAGCTGAAGATGAATAGACATGATATAAGTTAACTAAATAAATTACCTTTTTTAACTTCTCCCTCATCACTTATGCGATCAAAGCTCCGATCCTGTTCGGATAAATCACAGTTAGAAATTTCCGAGTGCTCATCCGCGTTGTCACCACTATCCTGCATAGATAACTTGTGACATACCTCGAAAGCTTGCCCGACAGTTCTGACTATGCGCATTGCTTGTGACTGCAAGTGTTTAGATATGGAATAAATAATTAATTTAAAGAACAATTAAGCATCAAAATGGCCCTCAAGTTTCAATATTCTATCTGCTGTTCAATGAAGTGCTCTGTCTTAAAAAAAAGAATAATAAAAATTACCTCAAGATCCGAATCAAGACTTCCACTACGAGGGCGTAACATTTCTTTGTCCAAGTACTCGTTGATGCTTTGGTCGCATTCAGTTTTCCTAATACTTTTTCTGCTGCGGGGAAGTGTATCACATTTGGTTTTATCTTCATAAGCTGGCTCTTGAAAACATATCTTTTTAATGCTCCTTTTATCACTACACTCATCACTGGTAGATTGCAACGCCCGTACTGAGCGAAATTCCGATGAATTACCGTATTGGCTAGAATCGACATGTGGATCATTTGATGGATATCTGTAGTCTATTGAATAATCCCTTGTTAAACCGGGCCTTGATACCACTGGTTTTTGATTTGCTCTTGCTTTGTCATCTATATTGGTTGCATTTTTCTGAGTTTTCATAACAGTTTTATTAATTGCTTGCTCTAGATTTCCATGGGAAGCATTCATGTTACCCATAGGTTTATCATCTCTCGAAGGTTTCCGGATCGGCATTGGAGTCGAGTCCTGTGCTCGTCTATTATCCTTTGTTGACGAAGCTTTGAATGGAACATTTTTCGGTTTATCTTTACTGTAATGTTCACTCAATGATTTTGTTTTCGATGGCCGTTGGTTATCTTTGTAATAGAGAATGTCATTTTCTTCGTTGAATAATATATGTTTGATTGGTGCCGGACTAGAGGGATTGGAAGACTTCCGGCCACTTTTAGTATTTTGGCTCATGTCATCTTCATAACGTTCACCGTATTCTACGTGCCCACGGGTATTATACATATAATTATAATTCTGCGTATATTTCTCGTTGTAAGACCTCGGTCGGCTGTCATAGTACTTTTCTCCGCAACGGGAATTGTCGCGAGATATATATTGCATACCATCCTCCATAGATCGACTTAAATCATTGTCACTCCTATAATCAGCTATTCCTTCTTGATACTCGATAGAGTATTTTATTTTTGGTTTATGCATTTGAGGTTGGTAACGTGTGCCAGTCATATTTTCGGTCATTGGCTTCTTTTTAACAGTTCCTGTCATTGGGACATTTGTTTTGGGAGTATGTAAATGATTCCTTGGTTCATCGTCAAGTTCTTCCTCGTGAACATCACTCAGCTGGGATTGTTGTTGCTTGAGTTTTTCTTTTTTCACACTTTTGGAACTTTCCTTACCCTTAGTTTTTGACCATGGAAAAAAATCCAAAGAACTTTTGTCTTTTTGTGTTTTTGGACTTCGTGGAGGCGTTGCAAACTGATGCTCTGTGTCCTCCAAATGCAATTCGCTTGAAGAAAGTTTATATAATTGTTCGTGTCCTGAACCGGTTGTAACTGGAGTACTTGGTGCACTTTTGCTTCCTTTTAAAACATCACCTAGACTACTGAGTGTTGAGCGAGCTTTACCCATCATGTCGTTTTGGAGTTGCCGCAACGTTGACTCATTCCTGCGTTTGCTATTGGGTGACATTAAAGGATCATTGCCTTCTAGTTGCATGTCTTCAGATTTCTGTTTGATCATGATCCTTTTGATTTGTTTTTCCCGGTTCACAATATTCACTTTTCAACAATGATCACTTTTTTCAGCAGGTACTAAACCGGAGTGTTTGCAAATAACACAATTAATTTGGCTCTAAACGTTGTTTATGAAAATAAGTACGCAGAAATTAATTTTGAATCATAACGTATATTATTGGAATTCAAAAGCAATTTGCTAAAACAATCCTCTGAGGTACACACCTGCACTCGAAATGTTCTGCTGCCTCGTGTGTCATCGCAAAACAAACGTACCAATATTATTGTCTCGTGGATAATTATATTTCATCATAACCATCGCGACAATCGTCATTGGGCATAGTCTAAGTAGACAAATCAAATTTGAAGAGTATATTTAGAATAGGTCAAGACTCTCCTGTTATATTTCCCACTGGTGCAGTATTTTATTATTGCAAAAATTATTTTTATCCACAAACGACAACCATTTTACTAATACTTGATAATCATTGGCCGTGTAACGAACAATAATATCACTTCATTGCAGTTTTCTTCGGGCTGCAATTACATTATCATATATTCATATTATTCGCCAAAAATTTCATAATCATAATCAACAATTAAACTTTCTCTTCACACTTATTTGCCCTGCACTGTAAATGAGTAATTAAGATCTTAGAATATTGAGTAGTATCTTCAAAATGATCAGCATTTTCTTAACCTGTAACCTAACGTCATGATTTGGTTTGTTGGAAACATCAATTAAATGACAATATCTCGTTCGATGCTCGGGGCCGACATTAAACGGTGCTCATTTATTATATTTTCCTTTCACTTCGAATTTTCCTTTTTTTTTTATTTTTAGCTCAAGCTTAATTTTTTATCACTCTAGAATTCCACAATGTCACATGATTGCTACATGGGCTACTTTAAACAACCATCTTGTAGGATTTTTCATGAATCGTATTTCATCTCCACTGTCACCAGAATCCTTTCTAGGAGTTATATAATTAAACACTCAATAACAGATAATCCTGAACTGCTTGATCGGATAATCACACACTAACACAAAACACTAAACAACTGCCAATATCCATTATGTGTTTCACCATTGCTCAAAAGTAGCTATTCAAGCAAATTTTATTTTCTGTTGAAAATCTAACGTTGTATTTTAAAAACACAAATTCACTATTACATTAAATTTCATACAAATGCACAACTTTTGGAATCCAAAGTAACGTTTCGTAGTATTTATGTTCCAAGAAAATTTACAATTTTACATAGGGTAATCATATTTGAAGCTAATGATCGGATTTTCCACAACAAACCATACTGCTTTAATACTCGGTACGCACTAGCTCCGTACAGACCACATTGAGAAAAATCTCCGTCTTCTTCGTTTTATGAATTTTTGGTATAATTTTAAAATTCTCCTTCATAAACCTTCGTACACAACAGCGTGCGCGTTTTTTTTTCCACTGACCATATGTATTAGTGAGTCAAGCGCGTCTCTTCGTGCATGCTAAAGTTTACAGAGGAGCAAGAGAGTTGATTGAGAGAAATGAAAAAGTAATATTCCACAGTCCGGACACTGCGGCTAAAGCCGTTCCGAAGAAAAGTCAATATACACTTAGAGGGTGTCTATAACGCACATTTGCAGCTACAACAAGTGTTTGTGGATAACACAGAAGCGAAACCAGGCAAAGACGGATTCACTTTTTCAATTGCAAGTTAGATTGTCCGTTTTTCTTTATACCGTAGTGGCAAGCGTGTAATCAAGCTTTATCATGTTTAATCTATCTATATAAAAATGAATTTCTGTCTGTCTGACCCTTATAGACTCGGAAACTACTGAACCGATCGGCGTGAAAATTTGTATGCTTGGGTTTTTGGGGCCGGGAAAGGTTCCTATGATGGTTCGAGACCCCTCCCCTCTCTGTAAGGGGGGGGGGGGCTCCAATACAAATGAAACAAAAATTTCTGCATAACTCGAGAACTAATCAAGCAAATGGAACCAAATTTGGCATGTGGAAATCATAGGGGGTAGCCCCTTAGATAAGAGGGGGGGGGGGGGGCTACATACAGTAATGCATGATTTTTTTTAATTGGCGCATAAACTCAAGCTAATATTGAATCCCGAGCAAGGCCGGGCACACTCAGCTAGTATTCAATAATAGCATGTGGTGTGCACAATACCAGTTATGGCAATGTTTCTCATTTAAATTTTTTAAATTATTACAAAACAAACATAAAAAAACCACACACACAAAATACAAACTAAACACAAAGTTATTCAAACTGAAATCGAAGGTTAATATTCTTCAAGAAAACATACATCTCGATTACTTTTTCGAAGGGACGTATCAGTTTTTGTAACAAATGCATTTGATCGTCAATTTGGTGTAACTGGTAGCTCGCCCACGCATGCTAACACTACCATCAGATAGGGGAACTGTTCCGATGATCAATGCATTGTTCGAAATATGAGTTTCATAAACTCTAAATCGCATCTAACCAAAATATCCCGAACTGGAACATTAGGTTGTCTACCTCGAGGCCGAAGGGAAACGTATAGCTCAGATATTTTCTGGTTGTCTGGACTCCGTAGTTGGAACATAGCATAAGCCAAATGGAAACATATTCTTTTTAGAAATTGTTTGTTGAATTTTTCGGCTTACTTAATTCTGGGAAGTAAACAATAAAATTAGTTTTGGTTGATAAATGTTTGTATAATTATCTGACGACTTGAACATTGTTTAAGTTTGAGTTATTTTTTCATGAGTTCAAATTCATCATACACGCAGGAACGAGGATAGTTATTATCGTTTTCTTAATTTCAAAATGATGGTTGTTGATTCACATAACTACGTCATAGGATAACTTAGGTCACTCGGGATATGGATATTACCGTGGACTTCCGCTAGTCTAACCGACACTTCATTTATATTAATGGGGTTCATTTTTAATTTGAATTTCTAGCACCCCAATGAGCTTAAGAAAATCGTGTTTGGTAGCCTTATTTGCTGTTTTGTTTCACAATGTATCATTTCACTTTACTCCGTTCCGTTGACGTTTGAACCATTTATAGTTTGCGCGGCGTGCAAATTAGCGAGGTTCACATTAAAAAGTGTTCAGAATAAAAACGATCAAATTACCGGGGGTCCACGATATATTAGCTTGAAATAAAAAAATAAGCACTGTCAACATGAATGATTTGTCTTTTGAAGCTTTAAGAAAGAATATCTCAATTTTCAATTTTGAAGGCGTCATACAAAATGTGTATTTATAAATTGATACTATGGTAAATTATTAGGTCTAAGATTCTACATTATTAGAAAAAAAGGGATGAATACTTAGGAATAATAAAAAACTTGCAAGATTATATTGAAGTTATATGAATTTATATTATTTGTACTTCTAAATTTTCCATAAACTTTTGCTCAGAAAACTCTAAGCCCGTTGTACTCCTTAATCTACCTCAAAATGTACAATTTCAGGTAGTAGCTTAAAGCAGTACAGAACGGTATACTTTTTATGTCTGTACAAGGTATAACAGATCTGAGAAAAAAATACACGATGGCTTAAAACTAAACGATTTTGAATTAATCACTGAAAACCGATAATTAATGAAAAAATCGGGAATACTAAACTAAGCTTAGAATTCCCAATCCAAATATTAGCGTTTCCTTTTCTATGGCTTGCAACCCACTAGCGGATCACGAGTTGTTCCTAAGTGGATGCATGAAAAATTGTAAAATTAATGTTACTAAATATAAAATTATAATGAATCGAATTTTTAGAGCAAAGCACTTCAGTTATGTCTAGAGATAATAATAGTCACACCTTCTATAATTACCTTTTTATTCGTTTTGAACACACAACATTTGAACACATCGCTGCTACCATCCCTTGCAATATAACTGAATATTTTCAAGTCATTACTATCGTGGGATACGTAAAATATTCTATAAATTGGATGGCTTAATATTTCCATTTCCGGAGGATCATTCCACTGATGCTTTCTCTGTAATTTGAAAAAAGTAAAGATAAGCTTATTATAAAAAATATGTAAGATTATAGGGGTTTTATTTTGCAAACTTTATTAAAATGCAGCACCACTTGTGCGCGCATGTTGTAATTAATATGCCGTAAATAATACATTTTCCATTTGAAAATTGCTATCTCCGTGCACTGTCTGAAACACAATACACAATAGATTGGTGTGAAGTACACTGCTATTTAAGTTTAGGGGAATTTCGACACATTCAACAACTATTAGTCAAAAATACTCGTCACGATCTAATACAATTTAATGTTTCTTATTTTTCATGCATTTGGGATGCCGTGTCAAATGTAGGGTTTACCGATTTAAAATTTTGTGTATAATGCAGCAGTAAAACATATAAATCATTAAACCTATACTGTCCACCAAACCCTAACTTTTGCTTTTAAATATACCGCAAATCGCTTTTCTTTTTTTAATGAAGTGTTGTTTTAATTTCTATACATACCTTTCGTCTTTTTCGTTTCATACAAACTCTTACTCCATCTACTGAGATATAGAATGAAACTTTCTTTTTCTTTGCATTTTGCGTTTTGCATTCGTACTGTAGGAAGAATATATGAATAAAAATGTAAATACGTTTATCTAGTCGGTATTCATCAAATACTTACCCGAATTCTACGCATTGCTTGAACAATTTCAGTTCGGCTGCTGGGTCGTGGCACAATTTGCCAACCTATTAGCTGAAAAGGTGGGGAAGAAAAGGGTGAATTATTGATTATCTCGCGATTTTTTTTCATTGTGAAAACATTAAATTATACCAATACACAGCAAAAAATTAATTTTAATATCACATCAATCGTGTCGAAAATATGGTATAACACTACTTGCCAAAAAGGACAAAATTATCATTAATACAGTGCATGAACTGATGATTGTTTATTGTTATGATGATATACACATGATATTTTCGACATGATTTGCAGTGCATCCTCTTGTATGTAATATAAAAATTTATTTCTTGCTGTGTACGAAAGTGAAGCTCATCTACTCTAAACATCTTCCCATCTCTTTCATTCTTTTACATCTTCAACCGTGCAATCAATTTGTGTAAAATGAAGCAGAAAACTGTTGGA